TCCCTCCCTCCCTCCCTCCCTCCATCCATTCATCTTTGCTATTGATCCACTCATTCAGATACTCTGCTCTATTTAGTAGATTCCCGTTAGTTCCAATTATATTCACTCGCTCTTCCATGTATTCAGTCGTTCATTAATCCCTCCATGCATCCATAAAGTCCTTTTAAAAAAATCCTAAAATCCCCATAAAACCGGAAGACGAAATACTGAATACAGACAAAACACTAACTACATCAAAAATAAACATTACACAATGTTGTAAAAATAAGCTTTCACTTTCCACTGTCTAGCGAGTCCAATATTACAAGACTTGTTCCGTCTTCATTATGTTTGTAAGGTTATCTTCAGAAAAATGAACGCTCAAAAACAAAACAAAAAATTTATTTACATAAAGAGCACTTGAGTTGTATTTAGACTAGCCATTTGTTATCAGTCAAATCAAGTATTAAAAGATTTAAAACATTAAAATCAATTAAATCTCGTTTACACATAAATAAATAAGCTGTTCTATTTTTCAGCGTTTGAATGTGAAGGATCGGCAATACGATTTTTAAATCAAATGCATTATTAAATTTGAATAATTTGGGTTTCGAAATTTTGTTTAGACTAGTAACTTTTCATTTGCAGAAAAACGATAGTTGGCAATTTTAAAAGGAAAACATATTGCAAAAAAATTCGTTTATTGAAAAGAAGATTATATTGACAACGCATTTGTTCTAGCTGTTTCAAAACAAGTCAACTACAAGAGTTTTGAAACCGAAAAATTTCGAAGGAAAAATATTAAAAGATTTCCTTTACCATTCAATACTGGCGTTGATAGAAATAAATCCCAAGGCTTAGGATTAATCTGAATTAAGGTTTATAAATGGAATATGTCTGAAGAAGAGCAATAGTCTTAAGGAAGGGGTTTCCGCTTTGAATGTGAGATATTACTGACAAATTTAATGACTTACCTGAACTAAACTGCCTCCTAATTTCTTTCTCGTACTTGAAGGCGAGTCAACTGTTTCCAACGAGTCGGTGCTCATAACAGCATTAGCGTTTTGGCAGGATTTCTTTATGTTTGGCTCCTAAAAAACACAACAGAAATTATCTTATAACAGAAAGAAAAATATTATTGCATTTAGGACTGCAAACAGAGCGAGTGAAATTCGGTGACTTGAGAGGAAAAACGGACCTTATCGAGAGAAGAAGTGGTAAAATGATTAAACTCTGATGACTGTTCATGCTTGCGCAGTTTACTAGAAGTTAGAATTGTTCTTCTGCGCTGAATTGAGCGATTTTTTATTATCGCCATCATTGTTCTTATTTTTGAATCCTTCGTTCAAGGTCAACAGCCTTTTCTGGCTACGTGTGATGTTTTATAAAAGCTGTTCCAGACAGACCCGGCAAAGCTGGTTATCAACTGTTTGAGTTCTTTTCTTCACTGTAAACAACTATACGTTAATTCGTTGTTGAAGACATCATATTCTTTACGTGGTTTAAGAATCCATTTTCAAATCATCTTGAATCAAGAAAACTCGAAGCTTTGCTGAACAACCAAACGTATTGACATTCACATAGTCATTAACAAATTAATGATCAAAAGTCGAAATTTGATAGTCTGGTATGCAAAAAACGAACTAATTTTGGCAACCCTTGGGCTACTACTTTATACTACTACTATAAATTCAAGTGCATTTGTTTAAAAATATTCTACTACAAAGAGAGGGGAATTCTTTGAGCCTCTAATAATAGAATATTCATCAATGCATGTCATTTCTATTTGGAAGGAAAGTGAAAATTTCGAGGGAGATTTTGAAGATGAAAATTTCAATTGCAAAGTGGGAGCAATTTTACCACAATTATTGAATAGCTTTGAATAGAGAAGATGGTGCTAGAAAATTAAAGACAAATGCAAAAACATCAAGCTATTTCTACATAGATAAAATCATCATTTTAGTCTAATACATAATTAACAATAAATGTCTAATAATAATATCTTCTAATAGTTATTCACGTTTTTCGAATGCCTTGGACGCCAGCAAGCTTGCAACATTAGCAGAGCGGAAGTCGCTAAAGAAAAAACAACATCTATATTTTGCTTCTAAAATATACAATATTAACGTATCTTACACAAAGGAAACATTTATAGTTGATAGTTTGTTACGTTTTGTTAGCGTGTTAAGATTAATTCTTTACAACAAAAAACGTGCATCAACAACATGCTGTTGAATCAAATGCCGCTGTGATAATCTTCATGGAATGTCAAATAAACAGAGTTTACAAAGGGAAGGTCATTGTTTACGGGGTCCATAACCCTCCACTTTTGCATATCCAGAGTGCTAGTGGTTTGAGAGATGACGTCATATGTCATTTCTGGCGACCATGGGAAACCAAAAGAACAAGAAAAAGTAGGATTGTGTACGTCATGTGCGATCTTTTATAGTACATGTACGAGCTGAAAGTCATGTTTTTATTCACTAGGATAAGCTTCTTGAAGTGTTGAATTTGACTTGTAAGACCCTTTAAGAAGTTTCATCACGGTTTCCATGACAACCAAACAGCCCAGGGCTGGAAACTAAAAGGACACACACTCTCTCACCTTTTTTTTTTTTTTTTGCTTAATTTTATTTCTCCCCTTATTTTTCACAATGAGAATTTTGAAAAGGAGGATTGAAGTTTGAAAAAATAATGATATTTTTTTCTATGTGGTAACTGTTCAACACAGGGGGCCTAATACTGACAAATATCTAGAAAATATCTTTTCTTTTTTTTACTTTCTTTTCTCTGTTTTTCACTTTCTCCTCTTCTTTTGTTGTTGTTTTCTCTGATAATATTAACATAACTAACTTAAATGCTTGTTGAGGGAGTGAGTTAGGGCGGAGTCCCCTTATGTATGGAGAATGTTAAAATTTGAAGTGGGGTATGACATATCATTGTTTTCAAACTTAATTAACATGATAACACAGGTAACACAGATTGAGGGTCAACCTACTATTCAAAATAGCACAGGAAAAAAGAGATAAAAAAGATATAAACTGCTACTTAATATCTTTAGACTGAAATTCTCATCATATTCTGGACTTTAAAATTTAAAACAAAGGCTATCAATACAAAATTATTCTTTTAGTCTCTTATTCATACCTTATAATCGTATATAAAACATTTTAAAAATAACTTGATTCATTCATTTTAGAATATGTATATTTGATAGTCGTTTATTTATTATTAATTATTCTTACTTTTCTCCTTCATTTAATTTTTAGACTYATTGTTATGTGCATTACAAAACTTATAAATTGTTATTTGTGCAATATAAATCAATACATTATTAGAAATTATACCTTAAGGATGGAGTCTTTCTTTAAATCTGAATCATTGGCTTTGCGTTTTCTTCGTATGGACAACTGTTTCTGTGAAAATTCAAAAGTTGGAAATTAGGCTACCTTGCTGGCTATGTTTATGGGCATAAATAAATAGCATTAATGAAGAAATGAAAACGCATGTGCAAGCTATGTGCAGTTATAAAGCAAGGCAGGGGTTGGCAGAACACAAGAGAAGTAATGTTAGTAGAATCGTAGCAGAGTACTTCTCAAGTGTTCTACCAATCCCCAAGTGCTTCATAACTCCACACAGCACAGCAAACAAGGTTTTTATTTCTTTTATAAAATACAAATTACAATGATCGTTATTTTAGATAGAATGACACAACTGAAAGCAAGTGTGTGTGCTGTGTGCTCTCATAAAGCATGCGCTCCTAACCAATCAGAACGCAAGATTTATAGCAGTTATTTTATGAAACCTACTTTAAAGTCTTTCACATTGAGGTTCTGAAGATTCGTAACATTGAAGAGGCTGCAGGGTCGATTGTTGGCCTATATTAAAGATTTAGGTAGAAAACTGTCTGAGTATAAATCATATATCAAACAAAGGAGTCACTGAAAGACTTGTTATTTTATGAGAAAAGATTAATCTGAAAACAGAAAAACTAGATTATTTTAACACAGTCTGTACATAATATAAATATATTAATCAGTCATGAATGTATACATAGATCCATTAAAGATTGGAGACTATACATATTAAAGACCGCCATGAACGTAACAATAAGAAAACCCCCTTGACTAATATATAATATATTAAAAAGAATGTTGGCTTTAAATAAATAATACTACAAGCTTTCTTAGAGCGCTAACAATTAATCCGTGAAACACTAATTACTAAATAGTACAAAATAGTGCTAATTAATAGGAAACAATGGAATTTGCATGAAATTGTGCTATTTAGTATTACTAAAGTTTCAYGGTTATATTGTTTGCACTCTATTCATAATTATAATCGTAAAAATCTTCAGTCATTGTATTTGCATTTCAGTTAGTTAGGTCTCCCTTGATTCGAAGATTTTTCTAGTTTTTCAAGTTGTCCTCTCTATGCAAAACCTAAGTTAAATTTATATTTCATTGTTCTGTGAATTAATATCTGTTTCAGGGTATCGATAAAATTCGAAGATTATTTAACATATTACTTGGCCTTTGGTTCCAGGCAGTTTCTTACTGCGTAGTCTTCCTTGCCACACAGAAGCTGGTGAGGCGACCTTGAGCTTTCTTCTACAGCTTTTGTTATTCTCGTTGTTGTTGACTCGTTGCTGAAAATTTAAGCAAATCAAGGTTAACATAATGCATTAGCAGTAGCAGTCAAAACATCATTGTCCTCCTAACTGCCACAATTGTGAGACAAATCGATAAGCATAATCTTTAACATTAGCAGTTTAACTGTAGCTAAAATACCTTTTGGCTGAGAAATACTAATATTATTCTTTGTTGAAAAAAACTACTTAGAAATATTTCAAACAGAGCAATGTAAAATATTATTTGAAAATAATAACAAGACAAAAGGATGTTTTTCACACACAATAATTTATTACAGAAAACTAAAATTCAAAATGTTTACTTTCTACAGATGTTAATAGTATTGGCCAAATTTCCACAAAGTGCATGGCTCTTCTCCAAAACGAATTAAAAATTTGATTTTTGTGGAGGTACGACATGAACTGGATACACTAAGATAACCCTCAAATGTAAGCACAGGAGTAAGCATAAGTAATCCTATTCATAAGGTACTGAGTTTCAATGAGAACACTAATTAGGGGATTGCCATTAGTGCTAATGGCTCTACACTAAAAAACAATAAGAACTTTTGTTTTTTTGTTAGAAGTAACAACAACAACTTGTCATTACAGGGATCCATTACCAGCTTCACACCCCAAATTATCATTTGCTGCCAAGTTACCTAATCATAAACAGAATTCTGTTGCTAAGTAATGAAGGTATAATATCTTTCTGCAAGATTCTCTATTTCTAAATTTAATTTTTTCGAATGTTGAAAATACCCCCATTTCAAGTTGCCTTTTGCTCAGTCTTAGCCTCGATTGTGTATAAAATATTTCATTTTATTTTATTAAGATCAGTTGTATAAGTCAGGAATGCACGTACTATGGAACAATACGAGTTCATTAAAAAAACACAGAGTTTGGTTGAATAGCTGAATATCATAACACACAAACGAGACTAAGACAGAGCAAAGAGAACTCGGAACTGAAGTATTAACTATATCAAAAARTACTTAACATTGACTCAGCATTTATTTGGATAATGTCTACAATTTTACCCCGAATATTTTGAACCCTGTTATTTCAAACATTTTCCCTGCTCCCCAGAAGGTTTGAGATCATGGGACTCCACTTTACACAAGAAAATGCAAAGTATAGTCAATCAAATATAAAACATTAACTGTTTTAATGTGAGTTTGACACTGCATAAACTTTGAATATATCATTATATAGTCTCAAAACTTTGATAAACTTTGATATTCTAGGGTTTTTTGTTGTTGTTTTTTGGTAAAGACACGGTTTCTCAGGCAAGATTATCCTAGTTAATCCTGTTAATGACTTCTGTAATATTTCTGTGAGACACTAATTAGATTCATAGTAGAATTATTGACTGAGTAAAAAGAACAAAGAAATACCTCTGTCTCTCTGTCAAAAAGTGAAGAGAAAACTATACATTTTATAAGACAGTTATAAGAAAGAATTAAACTTTATTCAACATTCGTACAAATGTTGGATCATGCAGATTGATATAGTTAAAATATTTTTTGGGAAAAAGAGCTACTATACAAACTAAAAAGATTAAAATTCCGGCCGGTAGCATCATGTTTATTCACTGTCACTGGTAGGGATAAGTCACAGCTAATGTAATGAAAAATATGGTAAGAGTTTCTATTAAATTATTACCGTTTATATTATTAATTGTTTTATGTTAAAGATTTAGATTTCCTACTTTAAATGTTTATCCATTCTTCTTTTAACAAAAGAAAAAAGGTGATCAATATTTTTTTTGTAAGTGAAAATGTGTTTGTGGTAAAATAATTATTATACACAAAAGATTTATTCTTCGAAAAGCCGGACCTAGAAAATAACCTCTGACTTGGGTTTATGTTTTAGAAGCTTTTTCTAATTGGAGGTAAACTTTTATAATTGTCACAAGAATCGAATATGAAAGACATGAAATAATGATCTGGATAGTTTTAAAAACGTTATTCGATCTTTATATTCCTGGTATCTTCATATTTCATCACAGCTGTGATATAATCACTGATTAACAATGTCCTTTGGAATGTAAACCGTTACAAGTTAAATATCTTCTTACTAAAACGACTTAAACAATGCCTCCTTATAAAATAACGAACTTTTAGATCCAGAGCTTCACTAAAGGACATCTTTCAGGAGTGAATTTCGAACCGTAGAGTCTACTAAAGTTGGAACTCTAGTCTATTTGCGTACTTCTTTCCTTGAGTGAATTAGCAGAAATGAGCAATATTAGTCGTCTTTATCCTCATAAATCACGAAAATTTTCACTACTAACCTCTTCACATGCTATCCTTGGAGTTGAAGAATTTTGTTTGCCAAGTTTCTGTGATCTAACAGAGAGGTAAAGACTAAGAATGGAAAGAGTAAACAAAACTGATGAACGTTTTTAGACAAGTTTACTTTCTTGGTTTTACGTCATCAAGGGATCACGGTCTAAAAGCGTACTAGTAAATATATGCAAAGTTATTCATCGTTACACGCGCTTACCTCGGAGCTGAAGTGCGTTCAGCCCCTATTATGTCCATCCCACAGGAATTACTTGGATATTTACGAAAATGAAAGATTGGCTATATATAAAGTCTGCTTTCGTCCAAACGACAATGGAATAATTCATTCAAATGAGGAAGGAAGAGGAGCGCCAAATCGAACTGCCCAATCACAGAGCTGCTATTTTTAGTCACACCAATCAAATCGTGTGTCTGTGAAGCCGGTAGAAGATAGGGATCAAACCGGAAAATAGAGTATTTTTCAAATATGATAAATAACAAATCAAATCAAATATTTTCTAATAAAATAATKTTGAAATAAAATAGCATTATAAAATAACTTTAGAATAATAATTTGTTAATAAATTGTAAATAATTCCTATATTTTAGCAGTATTTTGAAATATTTTCGAGGGGAAGAAAAACACGAATGAATGAATAAGTCTTGAAATGTAACATAAAATGTATTTTTTCAAACGTAAAAAAAAGAAAACAAGAAAAAAGATGGAAAAAAAAAAGATGGAAAAAAAAAAAAAAAAAAAAAGATAAAAAAGAGAGATGTGTTCGACTATCTCGAGATGGCTGATAACCGCCACCTATTCACAGATGCTATCCCACTACTGTCGAACGCGGGAGCTTTTGCCTGCTGTGTTTCCACCCTGGGCCGGTACGCTCCTCTTTAACTAACCTGGTGACTCAAGACTCCTCTCGGACCACCATATTGACGCCCGACTTAGCGTGGACACCCGATCTACATAGAACGACGACCACCAGGAATCCACCCCTCAAGCCGTTCAACATCTCTAGCCTCCAAGTAGCTGGATCACAGGCGCACGCCACGACACCCGGCTGATGATATCATGTATAAAATAGATTATTTAAACATGTATTGTTATTGTGGTCTCGTTCTGGAGTCTAGCACGTGGTTAGGTGGTATCTTGTCATGACGTGTCTTTTAGGTCATTCAAACGTGGAATTTACCGATCAAATGAAATAATTCATTTCCTATAGTTAAATAGATAGTTTATATGATACAACTTTTTCTAAATAGAACGTTAAATCGCGAAAATATTCGATCTTGCTTTTATGCTATTGTTAATCACACACAAAGGAAGATAAAATATTCAAGGAAACACATGCGTTGACACTGAAGACAAAGAGAATCTTTTATTTTGGGTTTCCTTTGGTTAAAAGCACAGGGATCCCACCTCATCTACATTGCACACTTACACGTACACGTTGAAGTTGAAACGCACAAGACTATTATTTTGTTCCTTCTTTTTGCATTTGGATCAGTGCACATAACTCGAATGATAAGCATTTATCGAATGCCCTACAGAACGTGGATAAAAGAGAGAATATTTAGTGCGTGAAACACGTGACTTCGATTGCCGCGAAGATCAGCAGCCACGCCTCGCTCTTGGCAAAGTCATTAGACGAAGATCACAAATTTGAAAAGATAAGGATCGCATAGTTTAAGAATAGTTTTCGGAATCAAAATCTAGCACGAAAGTTTTTTGAGATCTGCGACCTCACTGTAGTCACATCTTGACTTTTCCATATCGGTGTCGGAAAGCCGACCGGACGCATAAAGAAAAGAACGGGGGGAAAACATTGATAAGACGCAGGCGATAGTTAGCGATAATGACATGGATGGTAATCAGGAGAGTACGGGATCTGGTCATTTATCTAGCAATCAGCTCCATTACAGCCGCTATCTTCCGCGTTGTCTAAATAATTTTTTCCGGTGATGACAGACACAACAAAATGAATCGCCCGCAGCAATCCCTTCGGGTTCTTTCTCGGAGATAACTAGAGTTTCCCCATCCAGAGATTCAATACTGTAATAAGGTCAGTTGCTTAAAACAGGCCGTGAGATATACTAGGAGTGTAAACCTACGGAAATGTCGCCATGCGTACCGTTTTTCATGGCCACGCACGACCCCACCCGCGACTTTGTCGCTACTCTAAAGTCAAATAATAATTTCTGAAATTCCATTGTTCAAATTTATGAATAATGTAATATTTCTTCATTATAATCTGCATAATAGCCGGTTAGGTATGGTTTATGATTATAATTTCTCTTCAAATGACATCCCTTTTATGAGCTGGATGCGCGGTGCAATTATCTCCTAGTAGGCTTGCAGGAGTCAGTGTTAGACCACAGTATATATGTCAACAGGGTAACATTAGCCCCTGCCTTGATCCCTTAAAATATCCAGACTCTTTCACGGCTAAACTTTCTATATATTTACAGCTATATTAGAAAAGAAAACTCTCCACAAAGATTTCTTAATATCCATCTTTTCTTTCCATTGAGGGTGTTGCTGATAGAGGTATATATCTCTTCTTGTGGTGACCACCTCGAAGTGATCCGGCGCCATGCTGAACGGAGTAAAATGATATCACAAAAGCTGCTTTTGTTAATATATGCTGTCGACAGCCGCGTATTGCTTGAGCTTCAAAAGTTATGATTTTTACGGACTACATGATGTGAGAGAGTGCATAAGAATAGCAAATTCGTAAAGCCTCTTATAGCTTTTGCATGTGGTGCTTTTCCTTTGTAGGTTGTCTATATTGAATACCCCGCCTTATGTCTGACCTGTTAGTGAAGGACTCTACACTATTCAGAATCTCTACTAAGAATTGTTTATTCACTGTCTACGACACTCAGCGTGTACGCACCCAAATTATGCACAGCTCGATGAACTTATAAGTTGTTTTTGAAATGTTTATCGCAAAAGTGCAAGTATTCTTCTCTTAGTTCGATAAACGAGATTATATTTCAGATATCTGACACAGAACTTCTGCCAACTTGACCTTTGCCTCTTATTAGTTTGGTCGTATAACTAACGCTGCCTTGTTGGGTTGCGTAGGAAACGAACGCGTTGCTGCCTACCATACCTGCCCTTGTTCGCTTAGTCTTTCTTAATGACAACCGGATAAGTGGGGGCAGGCAAGTTCGGTAATTATAACGGTTTTAAGTCAAAAGTCCATGTGTTCCAAAACCAGCCCAACCAGGTCTTCCTGCTATTGGCCAATTTTTGAAAGTTTTCAAAGGTGTGTATGAGCACTGGGGTGAATTTTATCTAATAGAAAAGAATGGTTAGAGACCTATGTACTAATCATCAGCGTGTTCTGTGTTTCTCCGGTAGTAATCAGATGCCATCTATACTCACTAGGGCAGGTTTGTAGTCACTTCGGATCGAAAAAACTAAATATTACATGTAAAAAGCTTTTTTAGGAAATTAAAATATAAAATATTCTTAAAAACATTTTTTCTGTCACAAAAAAAGTCATAGTACAAGTGTGACAACTTCAGCTTAGCTCCTTCCCTACTTCTTTCTTTGAACAAAATCAACATACGCTATCTTATGTGTAATTTTTAATCAAAATTTAACAAATTGTGTTAATAATAAACGCAAAAAAGGCTAATCCATAAAGTGATAGTCAATACCGAAGTTTACATAAAATGTTTTATGTAAACGAATCTCTTGAAAAGATTGACCAAGCCCTTCCCTTAGTTTGTTAGTCATTTGCTTACTTAATCCAGGATTATTCTCCCACGGTATTCTAGAACTAATGATTTCCTAACTTGGAATATGTCTTCCAATGGTCAATGAACATGTCACGTTTGTTTAGACCCGAAAAAAACAAAAGGAATCTACGAGAAAAGTTCAATATATGAATGCAAGTCACCGACCCATGCAACCTAACTTTTCTATGCAAATCGTTTCCTTTTCGACCCTTAGCACTCTGATTGGTCGTATCGAGCACTGATGTACAAGTATTCAAAGAATGTGTCAATCAAATGATTGTCTTGATTTGGATCAAGATTTCTGCTCATTATTGGCGTCGCGTCTTCTCCAAACACTGCAAGACTTCTGTCCTCTTGTGTCCACAAAATACTCCATTGGACCCAACTCAAACCTTTGTTTAGGAGTATTTAATATTCAAGAGACACCGTCCTCGGTGTTTTGATTGAAATACGTATTCTTTTGGGGAATTTTGAGCCATAGTTAGCAGAGGTAAGCTGAATCAAATTACACCATATTTGCTGTTGTTTTGAGACCATTGCATGCTTTTTTTAGATTTAAACAATTGGTTGCTTCGTGGTCGAGTTTATTTGAGTTAATTCAACTTAGAAGAACACAGATGGAAGTTGACAGGCGAAGTTTCTGTGAACTTTCATCTAAACTTCAACTTCTAATTATACCTGAAGCCCATCTTCATTGAAGGTTTCTTTTGTTCTAAATGACGAAGTTATCACTTTGTTAGACACAAAAGAGAAATTATTATAGTGTTATTTAGCGCTTTTCACTTAGAAGATTCACACTCCTGGTCCGCAAAGAGAACACAAATAACATTTGTTATAATCTACTCAATATTCAAAGCAACCCGCTTTGGGTCAAGATGACCAAGGCTCACAGACCACCATGTTCAAGAAGAACTGTTTAAAATTGTTAACTTCTGATTAATAAAAAGAAGGCCCCCTTAGGAGGTAATAGCGATTATGACTGGCAAATCTTTGTTTTATATAAAGAGCTTTTCTTTAAACAATATTTGATTCCTTCCTGAATCAAATGTCGGTGAGACGTAATACCTATGCTTCGCTATAATCTCTGGACTCTGCTTATCTGTCAACTAAAACGCCACATTAACTTACTCAATTCATTTTAAATTTCTAAACCAAACTCTTCTTAAAATATAACTATTTCTTTTTAACGTTCAGATCATTGATTTTTCTCGTAGTAGGATGCAGAAGTTTAATTGGGAAGTTTGGTTTTTGAACTCAATCTCGCGTCTTTGTAAGGCGACATTTTTGTGGTTTCTGAAATCCTTTACAGAATATTCTTGAGATAAAACGCCTCAAAACCTCAAATTTAATCGCAAATTATGATTAATAAAAAACCAGACTTAGAATATTTCATTATATTAAGCGCAAAGTTTTAATTATCTAGTCACGCTTAACTTGTTGAATCCAAGTATTCAATAAAGATTTTTTTATCATTCCGAAGTTTGTCGCTTAAGTTTTCAAAGATCTTTGCGGTTTTATTCATAATTTATGAACTTCCAAAGACCTAAGAGCAGTTTCAGCGTTTTGTAATATGAGTCAACCATCGTCTTTTCTTGAAATCGCAAAGCGTGTACCAAAAATGGTCCAAGCAGAATTTCAGAGGCATACGATATTAGCAAGCGTTCGTACTCTCTTGACCGTATCAAACGTTCTTTTATTCCAGCCTTTACTAGTAATGGGAGTTAATTCGTTGTAATACTCATTAGTTATTGTTTTCGTTACCTTTTTTTAATAGAGACGATTAAACTCCGCAGGCAATGCTTATCTTTGTGTAGAAATATTATAAATTTGAATTTCCAAATCATTGTCAACCCGATAGATTGCATGACTTTGTAGATTTCATGAAATTGACAGGCCGTTTACGTTATCGAAGCAAAGCCAGTGATTAAATTTTGATTATAAATTAATAATGTACTTGATCTGTTTTTATTTTAATGTCATGCGAACTGCTTAAGGTTGATTTTAGAAAATATACCTCGGAGTTGATACCTCCCCATGAGTTATGTTTAAATTGTTTTCTCTGGAAAAATTATGAGTTGTTGACTCATATTTGATATTTTCAATTAAAAATTATGTTATACTTATAACTATACCAATTGTCCTAATTAATTCTGTAGGAAAATGGTTTGATGCTGTGAAGTTAGATGATAAATCATATCCTCAATTTGAAATGGAGTCTAAAAGAATGACACCAACATTGCAGTGATTAATTTTTTGTACTCTATATTTAGTTTGATTTATGGAGTGCCATATAAGAACCATAAACTCACAGCCCACATTCATCCTGTATTGATATTTGCATGACAAAAAAAACACTTGAAAATGAGCAGTTAGTGTCATTCAGTTGTTGATATTCGTAGCTACGGCCCTCACTCAACAGAATATCATGTTAGATGATGAATATGTGTCTTGGGTAGGGCTTCAGATCTCTTCAAGTATTGGTGGAATGTACGTTGGTAACTCCCCTAAGAGAATTTCAAGATAATGAAAATCAATTCCAACCTTTAAGAAGTTCTTTCCCTCTTAATGTTCTTGGTTAAATTTTCAGGCCAAAGGTTACTTGTCAGAGGTTTGTTTTCACTCTGTTCTCTGTTTTTCTCTAACCGATATAGGGTCACTATGAAAGAAGTTTTAATCAACTTTTAATTTAATCAGATAGATATTTCATTATTCTTTCATAGTATTATTTTATTCATCTAGACAGTTTTAATGAATTGATACTACTATTGCTTCAAGTAATACTCTTATTTATCACTGCAATCAGATATTTCATTGTATTTCTATAAAAGCTATTCATTAGTTTACTGCATAATTATTTATCTCCTCATGGACTCATATAGCGATTTTTACTCCATCTAGCTGCACAGTTTAAACATCTTTTCCTGTATCCTTGATGTTTTGGCCTTTTTTCTAAGCCTCTATTAACTATGTTCTAAACCTTCACACCAAACACTGATCTTAAAACTGTAACTTGAGACTTTTAGTGACCCCATATTAGTATAGTAGTAAGGATGGCAAAAACCTCAGCTGAGGGTTACATCTTTCAAGAACTTATTATCACACTTCTAAATTCACAATCATAACCATCAGAATTCCTTATCATATTTCTTTTAGCTTCACTTTGTGCTAATCAGTAGTATGACTTAACGCCAGATGTCTTCTCATACATACAACATGTGCAAAGACTCGTGCAGTAAAATAAAAGAACAATAACAAAATAAAAAGATATGCTGTTGTATTGTTGTGTAAGATCTTTTGCGTTCTGAGTAATTTGTGCATAACATGTTAAACTATTTTAAACCAGTTGTATATGACATAAGACTTCTATCTTTGAAGTTTTATTCTTTATTCATTGCCAGGACATACTGTGAAAACAAACTTTGTTTGCTGAGTTATGAAGGGCATCTGATACTTGAACTTGTAACATTGCCTCTAAAAACTACTAATCTCAGATTTGACCAGCTTAGCTGATTTGTTCCACAAATTAGTACAAAGATTCATTGTTGTTTCCTTTGAAAAACAAACTCTGTTAACTATATTGGCTTTGAAATTATGTAACTTTATATAGTATGCTTGCTGCTTGGATGAACAACATTGTTATCATAACTTGGCCATTTATCTGATCATTTTCAAACTAATGAAAACATAGTTAGAGCTTTCTAGCAGTGAATCACACATGCTCAATATGTAGACTCACTCCCTGCTGAAGCTGCTTCAGGGTTATCCTACTATTCTTAATGATCAACCTCATTTACTTCCAATCATGCCCGAAACAAATTAAAGATAATAGCTAACACATAATTGTGATAAAATGCTAAATTCTCCTTGGTAACCTAATTAAATCATTAGATATCATAAAGAGAATATAGGCCTTGATMAGAATGCTGTTTGTTTGGCATTTTAGTTGATGTTCAGTGATGTCATGTTAACATAATGTAGCCCAGATCAGTCAAAATATATGCCTGATAACTAGTATACTGACAAAAGACAAGAACCAGTGTGATATACTTCAACTGGGATAACAGTAAACATCAGAGTATTTGTCTTGATACTTACTCTGCAGGAGTTCCTTTTCATAGTAATGTTCTCACATTCCTAGCTCCTTTAAAAGAAACTAAGTAGCCTTTTCATACTGGATGCTATAGCATAACCTTAGAATATTGCTAATTGGTTTATTTCCAACTCTGACTCTAAACTACAAGGCAATTTTCTTGCAATACCTTTTCTCTAGTTGACCTTTTTAATGTCACGCATCACTGATAATCAATTTATTTTCAACTTGGAGTCTAAACTACAAAGCAGTCTTATTGCAATAGCTCTTCCTTAGGTGACCATTTCTAAAACTTTAACAGACTTTATAGCTCAAAGGCTTTCTTTCTAATACCTGGGAGTTTTTCGCTAACAGAAGTGATTGACTATTCTAAATAAAGTAAGAATAATTTCAATGGGCAAAGATGTGTTTATTTGAAGATTTTTTTCAAAAATCAAAAACTCCCGGGTATCTAGTATTTTGAAATTGGTTCCCGGGAGCTAGCATGTTTGATCTAAATTATTTCTAAATTTGTTTTGGAAGTGTCTTCAAATTGACCTTCGTATTCTATGTTGAGAAAACAGCAAAAGCGAAAATATAGATCATTTATCGTAAGCAGAAGTGCTTGACTATTTTAAATAAAGTAAGAATACTTTCAAAGGGCAAAGATGTGTTTATTTGACGATTTTTTCAAAAATCGAAAACTCTAGTATTTATATTGGTTCCTGGGTACACTTCGTAGTAAAAAAATACCTTAATAATCCTACAATTTTAATTTAACTTTTAGCTAGGCTTATCCTCTTGTATAATCTTGAAAGCATCTCACATTGTTTTATTTTATGTTATAGGAATGAACAGTTCCCCTCAAGAATACAGGAGACCTTAGCAACAATAATCAAGAATACTTCTTAAGAGGAATACACTAAAGAACTGCATTTMAGTATGAAAATAGAAACATTTTTAATTGTTAGTCTCACTGTAGGACTTTCAGTAGCTGAATCAAATAAGCAAGAGACACTAAATTCAAGACAGAGATTACCAAATATAGTGGCTATTGTTGGGAAACATTTCACATATTCACTACCAAGGGATAGTCATTCAAAATATATGGTGAGTTACTCAATTTTTTTTGTTAGAAATATTTGTACTTATTTCTTTGTTAAGGCCAGTTTAGACGGTACAATTTTTGCATACAACTATCATATACAACATGCTCACGTCTGTTGTAGGCGAGTTGTAGGCTTGATTTACACGCTACAACTCAAGTTGTAGGATGGCACGAGCATATTGTATACAATAGTTATAGGCAAAAATCATACCGTCTAAACCGGCCTTAACATAGGGGCTCTAATAACAGTCATTGGTGTTTGCAAACCTGTTCTTTTAACTTTATGTGATGTGATTCTTTCTGGTATAAAATGCTGTGGCAAATTCTGGGAATTTGCTTCAAGGGACAGCAATGAGTCAAGTTAAATGGGTCTATTACTATTGCAATGCTTAAGCAAATTGTCATTATAGTCTAAAACGGGACAAAACTGAGATAAAATGAATGGGTATATCGCTTATACTATTTTACTCCGACAAAGGACTTGCGTCCGAAACGTCAGTAAGTTTTTTCATCTTTTCACAGTGTATAATTTATCTTTTTATCGTTACTGTTTCAATAGAAACACCAACGCAGCTCACACTAGTTCTTAGCTAGTTATCTCTTCTTATACTATAAGACATGGCTCAGACTTAACCTTTTTGTCCACAATCAAACATTTAAATTTCTGTTTTTCAATGAAAACATTGGCCAGATCTGGAAAACTTTTACTAGCAAATGTTTTGTACTATTTTCAATAGTAAAGTCAAGAAAAACTCATTTCAAACCCTGTATTTTAGAGGTTATGTGGTCTGAAATGGGACAACATCGGGCCAAGTTGAATCGGTCTGTTGCTTACACTTCCATGGGACATAATTGAGCCAAGTCAATTGGATTCATTGCTTATACTATTATTATAGAAGCAATAGTCTTGTGGTCTGAAGTGAGTCAATGCTGAACCAAGTTTAAGGTCTACAGTCAATGCTGAAGTTCTGAAGCCGAGCCTTTAAAACTGAGAACAAACTACATCAAACGCCACCCCTATTCACTAACTGTTTGCTAAAGGTCCGTTGTCTATTAACCCTTCAATAAGGTTCAACAACCACATTTCACTTCTGATGTAAAATAAACTAACAAACCTAGTAAGTTTAGTTTTCAATCAGTCTGGCCACCTTTTGCTTCTCTTAGCTGTATGCAAGTACAAGGACATGTTCTCCTTTCTCTCAACACAAATAGGAAGCCACGTTTCTTTCCTCTTTGTCTATTGGCTGTCTTATTAGCACCTCTTAGGCCTTGGATTGGCTAAATAATCTTTCGATAGATATTTTTCCTGGGTGCTTGCAGATATGAATACTTCAGTTCTCAAAGCCAGACTTTGTTAAAAGGGTTCGAAGAGGTCATTAATTAGCTCCAAAAGCTCTTGATTATTGTTCTTTCTTAAAGTCAAAACAAACAGACTTTTTTTTTTTTATTGTGTCTAATGCGAAAAATACAGCATAATATTAAATGTGGAGTATGGCCTTTGAACTGGGAGCTTCTTGTGTGGCTACTCATTAACGCTGTGGCTACATTTTCTCACAGATTATCATCACCACCGCATGAGCTTTGGCTTTTACGGGAATACCATTCATAACACCACCCTTGAACCCCAAAAACATCAGCATTCCACATCCTAAGAACAACCCTTAAAACTCTCCCCTTTTTATCATATCGAGTTTCGGTCAGACGCGAAATCTTAGCATTTCAGGAATGTCCGAAATCCTTGACCATATTTTGAAACCTTTCTTCTTATTCTTTCCCCCTTTACATTAAGCCTCTCTATGTTTTTCCAAAATTCTTTGCGATATCTTGAAATCTTTCTTCTTGTTTTTTCGAATTTAAATTAAACTTCTCATTATTTTTACGAAATTTTCGGCAAGAAAACTCTCGTTGTCTTTCCGAATTGATTTATTGCAAACATTTATCATTAGTGAAGGATAAGTACAGGCTATTCCAACCACAGATTCAAACATCTTTTGTGACGAAATTATTTGTGGTTTTTTCATATCCTGTGGCTTGTTTTGTCACAATAAAAACAACACAGCCCCTAAATCTTTTCCCTCGCCCTCTGCAAACAATTAAGAATATTGTCATCATTGGAAAGGAAATGAAGCGAAAAATATAATTTTAAGATAAGCCTTCTTATCTCGTCATCAGTTTTTCAGAAAAAACACCTGGAGTTTCCGTTATTTGATCTCAAAAATCAAAGATTAAAATTCGTAATCTTTTTTCATTCATGCTTTATTTTCAACATACGAAGCCAATATTCAAATGCTATGAAGGGCTTAGACTAATGGTCGATCAGTCGCCGGTCGTGATCACAGGCCAGATTAGTTTTAGCTTAGTCATACCTTATTTCTGACTAAACGTTACTCGTCAAGATGGCAAGGCGAAGATTTAACCGGACAAGTCCCAGTTTTTGCCGGACATTTCCGATGTCAGGCCGTTATCTTAAGCCTTGCTATCTCTTTTTAACGTTTTTCCCTACCAGTGTCATAGATCACATCAGCTTCTTATGGGGTTGTGCGTGATTATCTGAAGTGTGGTACTCATAGAATGTGCTGCCTTGTTTTCAGGACAAAAATAAAACAGTTCAAGGCGATCTGCCTGTTATAGAGATAGGGTGACCCTAGTGCTAGGGAGAGTCTTCGTTTTAAGGCCAAAAACGAGTAAGCTGTTAGTAGCAGGGTCGCCCTACCTCCATGTAAATGGCCTCTAAATGGCATGTTAAATTTTTGAGTAAGGAGTGCTGTTTATGTCCCCCAAAACCTCAAAATCGAGTCATAATTTGATACACCCATCCAGTTGCTGATGCTTCTTCACCCAAAGTCTTATAAGAAAAGCAAGACTGTCACACTCAGTATTCGTTTGTCTCAAATGGTTTCCACTAGGTTGCGTGATTTTTGGTTGGTTCTTTTTTGCACCGTTACATTATCGTGACTGTTGGCTTCCACTCTGCACCAATCAGAAAGCACACGTGACAACAACTGACGTGAGACCAGCTCAGTCCTCAATGAACCAATCAACAGCGCTTGCTATATATCAAAGCCACAAGATATATTGGAATACTAACGTCTTCTGTTACACTTTCAGGTGACCGAAGAAGGCAAGAAATCCCTACCGAAATGGCTTTCATTCGACTCCAAAAACAACGAGCTTTTCGGCGTGCCTTCGTGGAGAGACAAAGGCACATATCACTTAGAACTACGCAGTACAACTACAGAGCATTTTACTCTTTACGTTAAAGACTTACACGATGTCGCAACAAACCCTGCTCTAAGGAACTCCAACATCACCAAGGTGCCTCTGGTGCATGAAGCAATTTGTTATAATGGGCTTCCTGTGGCTGCTGCTACTATAATATTTGATCTTCACGCAGGAAAATTGAGCGGGAAAGACAGGATTGCGCTGTTACGACGAGTGGCAGCCTTTGCAGATGTGGATGTGGAGAATCTACGTATGTCGCTTGGTAAAGGACATAATACAGCTTTGAACCTGAAGGATGTTATGATGCTCACTGCGGGACCTGGAAATGTTCGCGAGGCTAAGGAACCAGGTGTTGTGGTGTCGTGGCAGATAGGATGTGGTATTGACGTTGCTGGTAAGCGCAAGATATTTTGAGAATTTATTAATGATTATTTATTTTGAAGATTTATTAATGATTATTTTCTATGAGATATCACAGTGTTATATCTGTGTGGAGGTGATGTGCGCTGCCGTAATGCGATGCCTCTTTAAAAAGTTTTACTTTGGGCGTAATGTTTTTTTTTGTTTTTTTGTTTCTTCATTTTAGAGCATTCCCTTGAGCATTATGTTCTTGTTTTTCGAAGTATTTATATAGGAGTAACCCAAATATTATTCCCAAGAAGCTTGAAATGGGAAGACATTACCGCCCAAAGTGAAAGGTCATTTCTGATTCCGTGAAACGTCAAAAAAAAATTTATCGGTCATCTTATTAATTTTGTTTGTTTGTTTGTTTCAGGTACCCGAGTTGCTTCACTGTTGAAGTCAAGTGCTGAGACCGGAGCTTTTGACCAAGCCTTGTCCTCCCCAGTCTCCAGCTGGCATATTACCACAGGATTCCCAAAAGGACCTCGCAGACGTACTCGCAGACAAGTCATTATACCTCTCTTCCCTACCCCAACACCTTCCAAGAAGCCCTTCATTCCTGGTAAGGTTCCAGGGATAACTGCAACACCTACAGCTACGATTGCACCTCCAGCCTCTCGAGTAAGCAAAGTGACCGTTATCATCCCAACACCGACAACCGTCATGCCTGAAAAGACAGTCATGCCCAACACAATGCCGCTTGTCAGGAATGCTTTCAGACCAATATCTGTTATAGCAGGTCAGATGTTACGTTACCAAGTGCCATCCAACACCTTCTTTGATGCAGAGGACGGCAACACCAAAGCGTTGTCCTTGAGGATGTTTTCTTTAACTGGAGGCAGCATTGCTTCTTCTTCGTGGATTCTCTTGAACGGTGCCTCACAGGAAATCTACGGCCTTGGAATGACAGGCCAAATTGGATCACATGATTTCGTAGTATCTGCTATTGACTCGGGAGGATTGAGCGGCCAGAGTCCTCTAACTGTGAACGTTCAAAGGGATACCCACCAGTACAACCATGAATTCACTCTCGAATTGAACATTGACAATGCTGCGTTTTCTAACAATGTGGAGCTCCGGCTTGAACTCCTAGACAAGCTGGCTACATATTTTGGGGTGAATGCGGATGACATTCGTGCGTTTTCCTACGGGCCAGGTGTAGTTTTCAAATTCCGCTTTGCACACGTGCCTCCTCAACCTTGCGACGGTGCGATTCTTAAAGGTCTGATCGACAAATTTGGAATAAGAAGTATAAACCCCGCCCTGGTAACAGCTCTTGGATCGAGATTCGCATTCAAATCGGGATCTTATAGACTTTTGGGTCCCTGTACCAACGGCCCTGTGGTCAGGAATGGCATCACTCAAATTAATGCCATATCCGGACAAGCTCTCGAGTACATTGTACCTCAGAACACTTTCTACGATATTGAAGATGGGTACAATTTGCGTCTGGAACTGCTGACCGAAGGCCTTGCGTTATTGCAGCCGATATCGTGGGTCTTAATCGACAGTGCCAACAGAAAGATATATGGGCTGCCCATGGAAGATATGGTTGCAAATCACAAGTTTACTCTCCAGGCAACTGATTCTGATAACCAAAAAGTGCGAAACCAATTCAACCTGGATGTCAAGGCAGATAGCAGCCAATACAACCACGAGTTTACCCTAGTCTTGAATATAGACAACGTAGAATTCACCAGAAATGTTGCCAAACGTCTTTCACTTCTTCATGACATCGCTAATTATTTCAAGACTGACGTTAAAGACGTTCGAGTGACCAACTTTGGTCCGGGTGTCACTTTCTCCTTCAGATTTAGCAACGTGCCGTACAATGACTGTAAAGGACGGCTAATGACATTGATTGACATGTTTGGCAAAGACGGCATTAACCCGAACTTCCAACGCGAACTGCAGAACAAATTTCCAATAACCAGAGGAACGTACAAGCTGCTAGGTCCTTGTAAAAAGGCTGATAACACAGGTCCCACTGTGGCTAACCCTATTAGGACCATCCCAGACGTATTTGCTGGCCAAGTGTTTACGTATCGGTTACCACGTGATACCTTTGTCGACAGGGAAGATGGCGACGCTTCGAAACTTAATCTCAAACTCATGGCATTCGGTGGAGTTAAGATTCCTTCGAGTTCCTGGGTCTTGCTTGATGGGCCAGATCTGAAGCTCTACGGTCTCCCTATGGACATCCAGATAGGTGATCACGAGTTTGATCTGTTGGCAGTGGACAGTGGGGGATTAAAAGCCAAGGACAAGTTCACAATACCCGTCAAAAGAGACCCTTCTCGCTTCAACCATGTCTTCAGCTTTTTGTTTGATTCTTTTGACAAGTCTATTTTTTCAAGTAACGTGGCAGTGCGAACTGAACTAATGGAAAAGCTTGCCACTCACTTTGGTATAAATCTCGATAGACTCCGTGTTACTTCCTACTACCTAGAGCCGAAAGGAATAAGGTTTAACTTCCAAATCGCGGGCATCCCACACAAGGAATGTCAAAATCCAGAACTGCTGAAAGCTATTAACGCTTTTGGCAAAACGTCTCTAACCGCGTCTTTCATTACGGCTCTGGCACCTAAGTTCGTTGTGAAGACAGGAAACTACACGCTTCTTGATGTCTGTGCTGAAAATGTGAAGCCATCCATCAAGAATGGCATCCTACCACGGGGTAGGCCATTAGTAACATTTGGAGGGCGCGTATTGTACTATACTATTCCAGCTGACGCATTCATCGACCCAGAGGAGGGTAACACCAGGAACCTCAAGCTTCGTCTTCTCAGACCTGATGGTACTCCAATCCCAATTGATTCATGGATCAGGTTTGATACTGACAAACAAGAGTTCCAGGCACTGCCTTTAGGGTCTCAGGTTGGTACTCATCGTTTTGTTGTCGAGGCTGAAGACTCTAAAGGTGGCAAAGTGAATGATACGTTAGTGCTGAATGTGGATGAAGATCCAAAGAAATACACCCAGAAATTCACCTTGTTTCTTGACTACGACAACAAGAAATTCAATGATGATGTGAAAGTTCGACTAAGTCTAGTCGATATATTGGCCAACCACTTCAAAGTTCCAAGGGAAAACATTCGAGTGGTTTCGTATGGTGATGGAGTGAAGTTCTCGTTCTACATCGATAACGTACCCATGAGTCCATGCAACCATCCTCGAAGGACCCAGGTCGTAAACATGTTTGGCAGGAATCGTAGAATCAATAAAGATTTAGAGAGGGCTCTTTCATCGATGTTCCCTGTCAAAAATATCGAATACGAAGCACTTGGCCCCTGTCATCCGTCCGGAAATATTGGTCCTATCCTGAACAAGCCTATTGGCACCCTTCAAGTGAACGCAGGCAAAGGAACTATCTTCAAAATACCTTACGATACTTTCTTGGACGCCAACGAGATCAACACTAGGTATCTGAATCTCAAGCTGAGGACAGAAAACGACAAACGAATCCCGTCCAATTCTTGGATCGTTTTTCTGAACACGCAAGAGATCTACATGCTGCCTGATAAACCAGATATTGGCCAACACAAGTATATCCTCAAGGCATTTGACTCCGAAAAAGAAAAGGCAGAGGACAGCGTTACAATTGAGGTGATGAAACCCGTACCAGTATCAACGGAGTTTACCTTGGACTTAGCCATACCGAAGAAGCCATTCATGAACAATGTGGAAATTCGTATAAAGCTGCTTGACAAACTGGCTAAATTTTTTGGAGTCAAGTTATCTGATGTCAATGTTCTGACGTACGGTCCTGAAGGGTCAGGTATCCGGTTCAAATTTGGCCTGTCTGATTTCCCCCCACTTGTGTGCAACCATCCATTAGTATTGAAGTACGCTGATCTCTTTGGAATCGATAATCCAACTCCAGAGCTAAAAAGAGCTTTAGGTAACGAATTCAATGTCAAGAATGCGAAGGTCGAACAAGTTGGGGTCTGTAAACCAAAACCGTTGAATACCCCACCTCGACGTGTCAATGATATTGGTCGCCTCAACTTGTTTGATGGCCAAGGGTTGATTTATACCATACCTTTTGACGCTTTCTATGACAAGGAAGACAAAAGTACCAGAAACCTGAGTCTAACTCTAAGGGTCGCTGAAGATGACGATGATACCCTGCTGCCTACATCATGGATCCTCTTAAATTCTACCACACAGCAGATATATGCCTTACCGATGGCTGAGTCTCTGGGTATGAATAAGTTTTTCCTTGAAGCCAGAGATTCGGGTGGGTTAGTGGAATATGATGCCTTCGAAATGTTGGTCGAGGAAGACAACAGCCCTTTCAACCATAAGTTTACTCTCTTCTTGGACCACGATAACGCAACGTTTTTGAACAATGTTGTTGTGCGTTTGAGACTGGTGCAGAAGCTTGCAGATTACTTTGGAGTCAATATATCGAATATTAGAGTAGATGAGTATGGACCAGGTCCATTCGTAACCTTCCACTTCGACCACGTACCCTATAGTCCTTGTGATATAGTCGCGATGAATCGATTGACAGACAAGTTTGGTGTGGATAAGGTTAACCCGGCACTCGATGCAGCGGTGGGACCTGAGTATCGTGTGGCTGATGGATCCTATGTTATGATGCCGCCCTGCACTGGAAATGTCGGTGCTGTGACTGGTGCCAGGAGAGGCGTATGGTGGACAGCAACCTTAATACCCGTGATCGTACTGGGTATATTGTTACTTCTCCTCGGGCTGTGCCTTTTGTTTGTCATGCGTCGTAGACGACGAGGACTTAGTGGTGACGACAGGAAAACCTTCATCTACAAACGAAAACCAGTTGTGTTCAAAGAAGAATATGACGTGAAAGAAAATTTGTTAAAGCAGCCGTTGGTACTTCCCAATGAGAAGCCCCCTCTGCCGCCTCCGGCTTACCCTAGAACACCTAATGGCAGTGCTGTGACCACACCGATGTTGGGAGAAGAAAGACGTGCTTACCAGGCACCATCATTCACGTCCAGTCGACAAATGAGTTCAAATGGTAGTAGTGGGGGGATGATGGCGTCTGGCGGAGGAGGAGGAGGAGCTGCTGCTGGTGGTGGTGGTATGGGTGCTGGTAGTGGTGGTATGGGTGGTGGTGGCGGTGGTATGGGTGCTGGTAGTGGTGGTATGGGTGGTGGTGGCGGTGGTATGGGTGCTGGTAGTGGTGGTATGGGTGGTGGTGGCGGTGGTATGGGTGCTGGTAGTGGTGGTATGGGTGGTGGTGGCGGTGGTGGAGGAATGTCCCAAAGCATGGGAGGAGGAGGTGCTGGTGGAGGAGGAGCAGCAGGTGCTGGAGGAGGAGGCGGTGCTGGAGGAATGGGTGGAGCAGGTGCAGGTATGGGTGGAGAGGGAGGAGGTGCTGGAGGAGCTATGTCTGGGGGAGCTGGCGGTGGTGCCATGAGCGCAAGCAAGTCCTCTTCATACAGTTACAGCAGCAGCAGCAACTCAAACAGCGCAAGGAAAGGAGCATATTCTGGATACAGACTACCGCCTGCCTACGTGCCACCTTAAAAAGATAGCTACATCCTAGACAGTGAAATTGGTTACGATTACCTGTTAGAAACATACTTTGAGAAGAACCTCGGCGAAAAGCTAAAGACGAACAATAATCTGAAAAAAAATTGCAAGATATTGAAAGCGGTAGAATAGCTGCTGAAAGACATAAAGATTGAATGGTCGTCCTATTGCTGGTGTCATGTAGCATACAAACATCTTAAAAAGCTCACATAACCTAAGTATATCCTTGAACGTATACCCACACCATTATAAAGGTCAAGGTGAGCAAACAAARTTTAGCCCTGCTTTTCTCAATGTTGTATCTTTAAGAATCTTTAAAAGCGAGGTGTTGATAACGGTACATGCAAAGAATATATTGTCAATCTATATAAATATTTAGGGATAAAATGATTTTTAGGCGTCTTTATACTCAAGGGTGGTCAGTCACGTGACCTCCGTGATGACTTCATATTACGAGAAAATATATATATTCAGCTGAAAAAATTCAAGTAAATCATAAAATCAGCATTGAGCCAAGCAGGAGGTGTCATTTAAACGGACAGAGCACGTGAACATGACAAAACTTTGTTTTATACAGTTTATACATATTTAGCCGAAAATTAGCGGCAAACGTATTAAGCCGTCGTTTGCAATCTGCAACCAGTCAGCGGTCTTATGATGCACCTTGCTATTTTTGTTCTAAACAGTGTGCTTTTGGATACAAGCTTGGCAAACGGCCATGTTGGATGACATCAAAAATATAATGGCGGCTGTAACTAGTAATGGTTAACAGACTCGAGCTAATTCAGTGCCCTATTTCACTATGGCGTCACTGCTTGTTTATGTGGGGAGAGAAAATTCAGCACAATTGCTCCTAGCGAAACAGTTTAATCTAAAATGGCCTGGTTTTCAGATATAAAATGTGTTAATATGTATTAAAAATATTCTGAGCGTTTTCTGGCTATTCTACTTCTCTTCGTGGATTGATACGGGTTTTAGAACAATTTTCGGGGAATTTGCGTTGATTTGACCCCGTCCAACGACCATGATCCTTTGCGTTTAAACAATAGATTGTTTTGATGTGACGTCATAGTGAAATAGGGCAATTCAGTAAGCATGATTGTCATCGGCAGTGATTCCTCCACTAAGTAAAAACCCGACATAAATCAAGTATTTCCATAGAGGTGCTTCAAAGTAGCCATTTCGTGAGAGAAAACCGTAGACATGATCTCCTTGGGGAGAGTGTAGTTTCTTCTTATGCAGAAGTATTGCAATARATAGGTTTTGCACCATCGAGTGGCCATGTTAAATGGCAGGAACAATACAATCATACATAAGAAAGAGTTCAATTCCCAAGAGCAATGGGATTTCATTATTGGTCTGCCATCAAACCACAGGCAGCCCAAGCTGTATTATGGGCTTGGACGCGTGATGTTGCTAACCATCTAATTCTGTCCTCCAAATTGCACAGAATCCCTATAGAACCCTTGTATTCCGTCGGAAAGCAGCTCAATTTGGTAGGACATAACAATAGGTTTTCAATTCTTAGGAGATTGAAATTCTTTTGTTTTGTCCCCCAAATTGAGCTAGTTTGACGTAACATGCAAGGGATCTTTTGTGAAATGGCTACCCTTGAAACCCTCTGTACTAGCTGTTAGTAACTGGGATCATCTTTGGGGCTTTCCTCTTTTGATCAAATCGGTCATGAGTATTTTTTTATCGCCCTAATCGTAAAAAGAAAGCATAGTTGATAAAGTTTTTAAAAAATCGATTTTTCTATCATGAATAATTTTTCACTCGAAAATCTTATGTTATTTAAATATCATTTTGGTTGTAATAATTATAGACATATTTTAGTTATTTTTTCTAGTCGGGTGTTTGTACAGTTGTCAAACAAGTAAGAAATACCGTACCTCGGCTCAAATAGTCTTCAACCAATTAAAAAGCACGAAAACGCGCTACAGCCAATCACAGTTCTGGTATGAGGAAACCATTTGAGAGCAAATGAACTGTACGTTTCCCGCTTTGACGAAATCCGTGCAAGTACCGCGCGAAGTCAAATCACTTGTATATTATTACATTAATTAACTACCCATAATTCTGTAGTTCCTTAAGTGACATTTCAGCAATGTTTGCTAAGAAGGTTTATAAAGAAAGTTAAAATACGTTATAAAAAGTTGATTCGTAAAAAGTTGTAATTTCTATTTTTGGTTATAATAAAATAATGTTAAACAAATCCAAAGTCTTTTTTGTTGCTTATGTGTCAGATGCCCTACTGCATAATGTCGTAATAGACCCTTTTTCGAGTTCCAAATTACCGCTGTGTTTCTTGATTACAGACTCATTTACACAGGCTTGGCCTCGAATCAGTGTCTAATTACTCGCAAATATCAACAGAAAAGTAAAGAATGAACAATTTCAACAATACGAACATTTTGAAACTCGACGGACCTTGACTGGAACACGTTAATATTCTGCACAAAATCGAGGCCAAGCCTGAGTAAATGAGTCTGTAATCAAGAAACACAGCGGTAATTTGGAACTCGGAAAGGGTCTATTCAGTCTGATGATTTTTGAACCCTGTGCACCAGAGGCCGAGCGGGGAGATAGGGAGCAGAGAGCATTTGATAACCAGGGTATAAAAGAGCGGTTGCGTGGATGACACGTCATTGTGAATAAGGATATTCTTTAGCGCATGCGCGCATAGAAAATAAATTTCGTAAGTGAAAAATACCAAGGACGCGGAAGTAAGCAATGAGGTCCGCACTTGTTTCCTTTTATTAGGCATGCGTAGACTATATTTACGTAAAAGTTGTGTTTCGCTAATCCCACACGGAGAAGGCGGGGTGTAAATAATATGTCAATGAGGAACGTTAGCCGAAGGAAACATTTTCTTTAACGTTTACTTGGGCGTAAAGTTTTACTGCAGTAAGACGAAATTTCATTCCCGAGAACGTCGTTTGAGCGTTGAATACTAGAAAGTTATTGCTTAATATCAATCACGTGACTTGGGAGTTGACAGGGGGTGCAAACAAGCGGTTAACTGAGGGGCAACAGTAGCGGAAGTTAAGTCAAAACATGTTAAAATAAATCTTAAACTATTGTATTTGACTATTTCTACGACATGAAACCAGAAAACAAGAGATCAAAACAACCTCCAAGATTCTACAAGCCATTAAAAACGCAGCTATTACCGGAAGTGACGTCTATTGATAGCAACCTATTCTCAAGAAACTGACACGTGGTCTGTGATGGGAAAACACTGCGCACAAACCACAAAGAAGGTAGAAAATAAGATCGTTAAGTTTCGGTAATTGTACGTGAAAGAAGACCAGTGAAATGGGTTGCGCAGTAACTAGTATATGTAATTCTCGTTTTTTTGTCATTCGGTAAATACCTCTGTGTTTTATGACTAAAGACACATCTGTACAAGTTTAGCGTCGCTTAAAAACAAATTATGCAAAATTCAACTTTTAAATGGTATCTTTGAATAGCTGACTTATAAAAGAGGCTGCAAAATTGGTGCAGCAATGAATCAAGAAATAAAAGTATATCAAGTCTCAAAACGCAGAATTTCATACAGATGAAATTTTAAGTAGATGAACCTGGAAATGACGAGTGCCCTAATTGTGCATGCGCGTTTATTGTTCATAACTTTAGAGCATGCGTAAAAGGTACCTAGTATTATCATACATTGAAAGCAGAGATAGAGACATAGGAGTCAGAGTCAGAAATCATCTGAATCAGTAAGATTATGTCAAGGGAATGCTGAATAAATTCGTGAAACACTAATTAATAAATAGTACAAAGTAGTGCTAATCAAACAATAGAAAACAATGGAATTTGCATGAAATTGTGCTATTTAGTATTACTAAAGTTTCACGGATTTACTGTGGTGACTAGTTGGTTATACTCTAACATTTTGAAAAAAATTGGTTTGTCAGTGAAGTTCAAAAGGGAAAGACTTATTTCCATATGCAGCTAAATTAAACAAATAAAAAGGTATATTAAGCGCGTTTTTGCATATATTTTGCGTAATTCTGTTGCACACATTAGTCCACCTATCGAGTGTTTATGTTTAATGATTACGTTAAACAAATGTCTTGTGTGGAAGAACCATTGTGTGCGATGAGAAAAACGTGACGAAAATATCAGTAAACAGCATTGGGAATGAATGAATTTCTCGTCAAAGAAAGTGGATCGAATGAATATCATAGTCAAAAATAAAAAATGTATCAAAGAGTGGAAAGACTATTGAAATGCTTATGAAACATTACTGAATAATTTGCACTAAATAATACCAGTTAAGGAATAGATTTTTTTGTTTGTTATAAGGAAGGTTATTTGACATATTTGCATAATTCATATTAGGTGAGAACGAAAATGTTTATACCTGTACTTGAAAACTTTCTGTAAATAAATAAAATACAATTAAAAGAATGATGTAAGTTTGTTGTAAAAAATCAACGAACGTGAAAGAAAAATTACAATCGCATATTCAACTTAGGGATCACGTGTCATTCCCAAGAGTATTATTTCTTTGTTTAACGGCTGTGCACGAGAAGACACATGAATATCAATACAACTCTTACAAAGAATGTTACTCTCAAGAGAATGACACAAGGGTAAAGAGATCGACTACTTTTATCGATTTATTTTGTTTTATTTTCTGATTTTGGTGCACATTTTTCTTCCCAATCGTAGATTAATTTTCTGTTTTAATAAATCAAAAATAATTCCTAAGACGTACAGCTGCACGTTTGTTTGTTTTTTGGTTTTTGGTTTGCTTTTTTTTCGTTCCGAGGGTAGTTGTGGTATAGATAGAGTTAGATAAGTTGTATTGTAGAACTGTATTTTATTACCAAATTGTTTTTCCCCCCTTTTTCATCAGAAATTCAATATCCCACACGGAAAAATCGATTAAACTCATATATACTTCTTGTTCGTATTCCCCTGGGAGTAAAATTGCGCTTTTAAATATGGGATGTTGTGTTTTGAACAGGGTTTCTTTTCGGTTTTTAGAAAATATAGACATATGCTCGCGCGCAAARCCATWAACTCAACGCCAGCAATGACAATTACGAGCAAAAAAATCTTTATTTCGTGGTGTTTTACATGGTCAGCCCTAAAACTACTCAAAACTGAGCAACAGCATACCCCAGTTCCTAAAAGTTTTGTTGTGCTAAGAAGTTGCGTCTATAAATGTGTTTTTACAAAAACTATACGTTTTAAAGCATTCAAAAATCATCCGTGAGCTGAAGGAATACCATACGAAAATATGCATAAATAAAATGTACATCCCACATGAGTTGTTGGGTCGATATTACCTAGGTAGTTGCGTTTTTATTAGACGGGGAGGTTGGATGGGGATGAGGAGGATCCTATATGGATTTTCATCCACTTTTCCAATGATCTTCCAATGTTGAGATCCTTCCTTGCTGGATACCCAGATTTATGGGTCTTCCATGATATCTCCCCGTACAGAATAGTACGATAAAGGGCAAATATAAAGAAACGTGATTGTAGATGAATCATGATAAATTGTACATTTGTATGGAAATTGTATATCCCACATGGACAAATGTGTTTAAAAGATAGAGAAGAGATACATTTGCATGGGGAGGAGGAGAGGGTTGCAGGAGGACGAAATTATGAAACGAAACTTCGACTTCTAAATATAGACATTCTATGAAAAACACTTAGTATATATCCAAGATTCTTAATTAGTCTCTTAAAGGGTCGGATCAAAGGTACCCCCTTTTGAAGAATGAAAAATAAAAAATGTTTTGTTAAAATAAAAATATAAAAAATGAAAATATAAAAATGAAAAATATAAATATAAAAATCTTAGGGTTAGGGTTAGGGTAATAGCGTTAGGGTTAGGGTTAGTGTTAAGACTGTTAGGGTTAGGGTTAACGCTAACCCTAACCCTAACAC